GTAAAGAATTACCACCTAACATCTAACCTAAACCTCACCTCTTTTAGTTTAAAGCCACCCTCTCCTGTCACTATCAGACTGCATAAAAAGTCTCCCTCCTGCTTATAAGCTCTCTTCATGTACTGGAAAGCCACAGTGAGGTCTCCCTGCAGAGCACAAGTGGCAGGGTCAGCAGAGCTATGCAGGAAGTGGGGCTGGAGGGACTTTGGGCTGAACTGTGGGAAGACCTGCACAACAGTTGTGGGACCGCAAAAATGACACAGCTCTTCAGCTTCCCCAGTAAAAGCTCTGGAAAAATGCTTTCAAAGAAGGAGATAAGTGCAGAATGAAGTAGGTTCACAAGTAAGAAATGACTGTTCCTCTCCAAACATTGCTGAACACTGTGCAGACTGCCTTCTGTATGGTTTAACATTTTCCTAGATTCTGTTTACAAAGTGCTACAGACAGTTTTACACAGCTGTCTTGGAATAGCGCTGAGAGCATAACTGCAGTGGCACAGAATTACCAAGCAGGGCAACCACAACCATCAGAGCAGGGAGGAGCAGAAAGCTGTAACCTAGATTGGCCTTCCTGCCAAAACTGGGTCAAGGAACTTTACCCAGTGCTTTCTAAATTAAGTTCTCCCACTTCTCAGAATGCAGCTCTGCTGCCAGTGCTTCTGTGAGATGCCTGGGACTTTGAAAGCACTCAGCAGGCAGGGACAATATATATTTTATATATATATTTATATATATATATTAGGGCCTGAGATACCCTCAGACACCAGAAATGCCATTCACACCTGCATGAAGCACCTGAATCACTTGTTGCTAAAGCCCTGTATATGCTGACATCCGAACTGTATGTAGTTACTGATATTGAAAAACACTGGCCCCATATAGGTCTAAAGAAAAACACAGCACAGTAATGGTTTGCCTGCTCCTGTTTTGCCCTACTATCTTCTCCAGGTCCCTCTTCAAAAAGCAGGGCTTCCACACCGGCACTTCTTGTTAGCCCTGCTCCTGCTCCCCATGCAGACTCTACCTTCATCAGTATGAAGTACAGCTGGTTCCAGTATTGCTGCTTTCCAAGTTTGAACATCAACTTCCAAGTCATACACCTTACGCCCTATCAAGTTGGGGTTTTTTTTTGTTTGTTTGTTTTGTGTTTTTTTTTTTTAAATCATCTTTAGCTTCGTAAGACGAAAGAGCCTTTAGGAAGTTCAAAAGCAGAAGGATGTTAATCAAAGCTGCTTAAAGTTATGTTCTATGTTTGAAATATTTGCATTTTATATTGCAAAATTAAAGGAATTGCATATAATACAGTAGGACAAAAGTACAGCTTAAGAATCCTATGCACTGCAAGGTACGTATGTGAAAGTGGTGCTAGCTGTTGTACAGTATTAAAGCAACACTGCGTAAACTATGGAAGAATGGATGAAGTCAGCGTCACTGAATTCACACTACAAACATGTAAAGATGAACCACTCCTCCCCCAGACTGCAAAGCAAGACTGCTTCAAGAACAGTATCTCCAGTGTTACTTCAGAGGGACTCTATCTTGTTTAGAGATGCAGAGGAAAGACAAACAAGAACTAAAATGCATTTGCACAATTGCCTTCACTGAATCTGCAATGCTACTGATGGAAACACCCAGAATCTGCTAACAAATCAGTCACGTAGAATCATAGCATCATTAAGGCTGGAGAAGACCTCTGAGATCATCCAGTCCAACTGTCTACCTACCATTAAGGCTGCCCACTAAACCATGTCCTTCAGTACTACACCTACCCTTTCCTTAAAACCTTCAGTGACTCCATCACCTCCTTGGACAGCCTGTTCCAATACCTCACCACTCTCTCTGAGAAGAAATTTTTCCTAATATCCAACCTGAACCTCTCCTGGTGCAATTTGAGGCCATTCCCTGTCATCCTACTGCTCTTACCTTGGAAAAGAAGCTGAACCCCTCCCTCACCACTACCTCCTTGCAGGCAGTTGTAGAAAGCAATAAAGTCTCCGCTGAGCCTCCTCTTCTTTAAACTGAACAATCCCAGTTCCCTCAGCTGCTTCTCATAAGGCCTGTGATCCAAGACCCTTCACAGCTCTGCTACCCTTCTCAGGGCACACTCCAGGGTCTCGATTTCTTTTTTGTATTGAGGCCCAAAACTGAACGCAGTACTCGAGGTGTGGCCTCACCAGGTCTGAGCACAGAGGGTTGTCCCTGCTCCTGCTGGCTGCACTATTGCTGATACAAGCCAGGATGCCATTCCCTTCTTGGTCACCTGGGCACACTGCTGGCTCACATTCATGAAGCATCAACCAACTCCCAGATCCTTTTCCTCCACAGCATCTTCCAGCCACTCTACCCCAAGCCCATAGCATTACCTGGGGTTGTTGTGGCCAAAGTGCAGGACCCAGCACTTGGACTTGTTCAACTTCATCCCAGTGGCCCCAGCCCATCAGTCCAGCCTGTCTCCAGGCGTCCTCAGAAAGGTGTGGCTGCAGTTCTGCTACAAACACAACATACAGCTCAGTCCACGCAGGAACCCAGCAGGCAGACTGCCAAGCCAAGAGACCCAGAGGTTTCCTTAAAAGACTCAGACAAGGGTGCTTTTGTTAATCTACTGTTCAGATGTACAACAGGAAAGATACATACAAACACCACCCATGTCACATCTTCATGCATGAATGGCAATCTGCTAGAAACAAGCATTTCCCTGCATAATGCAGGTCTTGCTCTGAACAGTAAGCAGCCATTTCACTGTCACCAAATCACAATAACCAGACACAAGCTGCACAGCTTCTGCCACCTTCGTGTCTGTGGAGTGCTTTTTACAAAAGATGTGTACACATAAGATCTATAGGTGAAGCGATGGGAGCCAGGTACACATCTACATCTTGCCACCATCCTGGAACTTGAGAAACAGCATTTTCATATCACACTAGAACAGAAGACACTTAAATATTGTTATACACAGGTGTGAAGATTGAGAAGCCTACAAACACTTCAACATTACCATGGAACTCGGAAAGATGAAGTCTGACAAATCGGCAACACTGCAGGATTTGATAGCTGCCCCAGCATATTCTTCCCCTAAAATCTGATGTTAAGGCCTTGAAAAATATCCATGAATACTTTCCCCCCATAGAGGTGAGCAGCTACCGTGCCAGCCCAGGGAGATAGAGCAGAAAAAGGTAAAGAGCCAATAGTTAAAGCAGTCATGGGATTACCAGCTCACAAAACAATCCCAAGGCTTCCAAGGAGGCTGGGAGATCTTACTATTAAATTGCAGTCACTGTAAACTTTTAAATACAGTATTTACATTTGAATTTTTCAACATTAAGGTTAGACTGCTACACAGCTACCCTTCATTTAATCTCTAGGTCTTTAGAACCATTCCTGGTCACAGTTTTATTCTTTGGGGGGGGGGGGGGCCAAAAAAAAAAAAAAAAAAAAAAAAAAAAAAATCATTGAGACAGAAGGAAGTACCAGATGCTGCTTTATTTAACTAATAATAATAATGTCAGAAGTGTGAATCCCCTACTTTGGGGGAGTGAAACACCAAAGACCGCAGAACTGAAAAAACTTCTGATGGAGAAGTTTAGTGACTGCAGCCTACAGAGAAAAGCCAACAATGAGAACAGAATAAACAAGCACTCATTTGCTAAGTAAAAATATTTTTAATTCTTTCTTCATATAAACTGTTATTAATATACATTACACAGATATCTAAACACAATCAAAAACTTCAGAAAGTCCTGCTTTTCCTGCAACAGTTAGCCTATTTTCTCCCCTTGGTCTACAAGAAAACCAAACCAGAAGCTGAAATTCACTATCAAAGAACATCCCTCTGAATTGTTTCCTCACATCCTGTGCTGACTTTACATAGGAAGATGCTGGAGGCAGAGGGTGCTTACAATGATGGCTGCTGTGAGAAGGGACCACAGGCTGACAGACTTAACCAGTTCCAACACGGACTCACAGCTGGCAAAAAACAATCCAGTGAGCAATGCTGGTTACATTTGATAGCAGATTTAAGAAAGAGTAAACACCTCTAGACAAGCAGCTGGGAGAGACAAGGGAGAAAAAAAAAAAAAAAAAAAAAAAAAAAAAAAAAAAAAAATGAGTGCAACAGCCCTGCAGCCACCAAGGTCAATGCAGGAGGAGGGCAAGAGCAGCTCCTGGCACCAGAGCAGACTGCCTTGACCATGGTGGATCAGGCTGTCCCCCAGTAGCCCATAGAGGATCACAGAAGAGCAGATATCCACCTGCTGGCAGAGGGCATCCTCTGTGAGCTGCAGGTTGGATATGAAGCTCCTGCAGAAGCAGGCTCCTACTAGAAACTGCGGCTCTGGAGAGCAACCCCCATAGAGCAGGCTTTCTGGCAGGGACTGCACACATGGGGCAGACCCACACCAGAGTAATCTGTTCTGTAAGAGCAGTTCTATACTTGAGTCTTCAGAAGCAGCAGGCATGAATAAAAACCACATTCTGGGCAGGGAGGAGGCAGAAGAGTTAGGAATAAAGCTGAGCCTAAGAAGGCAGCGGAAGTGGGGAGGAAGGTGGTTTGTTCTAGTAATAGTAGGACAGTGAGAACTAACTATCAGTAAATTAAATTCACCTTCACCCCATCACTCTACCTATGACAGAGATTCTTGAGCCATCTCCCACTCATTATCTTGACCCATGTACTTTTCTATCCTATCTTCTTGCCCCACCTTGTTAAGGAATGAGAGAACAAAGTTAGCCCACCGCACATCAAGGAATAAATGCATGATGAAGACTTATGCAAAGCTCCATTTGAGAAACTTGACCAGAGGGGTTTCATTGTTCAGATAACAGCATACTAATGGAACTACTTTCCTTAGAAAGGAAACATCATCTTAGTACTGAGTTAGTGTTATAAATAGAAATTTTCTTTGGCAAGCAAGACCCAAAATATTCATTATGTTGATACGCTCCGCTGTTACACAAACTGTGTTAGATAACTGATTAATCATCTTCTGTAACACAGTTTTCCCATTCTGGAGACATTGCTGGTTTAAGCATGAATGTTTCTGTCATCTGTTGGGCAGAGATATTCTGCAAGTTCCCCTCCTTACGAAAGAAATGTACGAACTGTACCCTTTATTGTCCCCCTGCAAATAGGGCATTTTCTAAGGGATGGTGCACATTCTTTGCATACCACTAAGTGCCCACACGGAATAAAAACAATAGAAACTTCTTTGTCCATGCAAACTTTACATGTTCTTTCCTCTTGCAATCTCCTCAGTTGTTCTTCCATAGGTAAACCTGGGGAAAAAAAAAAAAAGAACTGTTAAAAAGCCTGAGTAGAAATGCATTCTGCTTAGAAAGTAGGGGAATAAAGAGTGAAATGGAATGTGACTATCTGTATTCATTAAATATACATGGCAAACACACTTGTGGACAGAAGCACAGCTCAGAAACTGGTGCGCAAAGAACCAGTTAGTCTGTACTTTCCATTTCTGTAATACAACAAACAGCTCAGGGATTGTGACCAGCTCCAGCCCTTGAGCCTTCTGTTCATATTTTAGCATATGCTGTACTCTTCACGTTTAGATATTAGAGACACAGTGTACACTCACTGGTGGAAGTGAACTACATTCAGGCTTGAATACTTTAATGCAGTTATTAACATATTAAATTTCACAAACATCTGAACTATGGGAGTAAGAACTAGAGCAAACTAACTCATGTTTGATTAATTCTTCTATCCAGCTGTTGGCCAAACTAGATCTTAGGACAGCTATAAGCCACTTTGAAAAAGTGGCAATCATGATATCTGCTGTGAAATGCTAACCTACTATTCACTGCCCAACTTCAACCACATGCCTGAATGAGACTTCATACCAGGCTCAAGTCCAGCATGTGCCTGAATTCTTAAGCTCTAGAAAGCTCTACCTAGTGCAAAAGTACCTGTGTAAAGCACAATGTTAAGGCAGACAGATGAGCTTACACTTCACTTTCACATAAACATATCTTACTAAAGCAAATCAGGGAGAGGGTACAGAATAAAACCCATTTCTTAAACAAAGTTCTTCTCTTTTGAGGATGTTAACTATGTGTCCCACAATACCCTCAAATTAAGAAAGCAGAATTTAAGATACCTGATACATCTTCTGTAGGAACGTACTTTATGCTCTTCTCCACTGAAATAAGAGGAAAACATTCAAGTTATTTCTCTGTATTCCAACAGCATGTGATTTTTATACAGCTTTAATTAGCCTCTGATAAACTGACAGCTGTTAAGAAAAAAAATGACATACCAAATAAGTCTTTGTAAAGTATGGGGTCACAATCTTTTAGGCAGTTTCTGAATATGCTGGCTGCTGCATTGCCTTTCACTAGAACCATATCGATCAGTTCCCTTGCTTGCAATGGTGTCTGAGTCTTTTGTTTAATGACATCGTGCTCAAGTTCTGTTATCACTTTAGCTGAAAGTAAACTGCCAAGGATTGGAAGCACAGAGGTCAAGTGCTGGAATAAAGCCATCCGATTCTTCCGGATTAGGGACAAATCGTCTGGAATACAGAACAGATTACATGTTTGCTAGACATACAGTATTCCAAGGTGCATTTGTTCAACTCTTCAAAATATTCACTTACTACAGATCATCAAAAGAAGACCTCAAAATTTTAGCAGTGTTCACACACACAGTAGGTTTAAAGAAAGCCAAAAACAGTGTTGAAGCTTTTTCTACTAAGGAAACTTCCTGCTCCCACCGCTGGATGAAAGCATTCCGGGGTATCCTATCTAATTTCACACTAGCAAGAATCATCCTCTGCATAACACCAGTGCTGAGAACTGATAGGCTGACATGCAGATGGGATCAATCTTTAAGAGTTACCCAACAGAATTATGTGCAGGAAAATAAGAAGCATAGCACAACTAGACTTGAGAATTTTGTTTTTTAATTAGTCTATCACATACAATTAATAAAAAAACCCATGTCATTCCCATAATGATTCAGTGGTTGAAGCCATCTCCGCTTCTGTGACAGAAAATGCAAGCAGGCAAGAAGCCAATTCAACTTCAAATTGAGAGATTCAGTTTACTGCTTCACAGACTCTAGAATTGCAGGTTTTTGCTTCAAAAAATTACACAGTCTAGAAACAGCAGCAAATGTCAAAGGTGCATCACATAAGTATTGTTAATAGCTGACATACACGGTTGAGTCAGACACAAAGTCTGACAAAAAAGCCTTGACCTCTGACAATCCTACAGGATTTAAATTACTAAGAGTTTACGTCCTCTTCTAAGAGGTTGCTATGTTGATTCACTAACAAAAAGCAGACAAATTTGGAAGGAGACCAAGAAAAAAAAAAGTCTTGAAGGATTTTGCTTAAATTTGATTGATAGCAATATAAGAGCACAAATTTATTAAAATATGACTCTGCTTCTATTGAGTTTAGAATTGCCTTATTCTCTCCAAGTACCTGTACAAACCAAGCTCCTGGAAGGGAAAGAACTGAGACTGCTAGCTCTATACAGACAGCCAAACAATACTTTTACAGAAGTTGATTCTAACTGCAAGTTACATTACTTTGTGAATAAAAAACAACTAGAAAAGTCAGGCCAGAAAGCTGAACAATGCAAACACCTTATGCTTTCATTTCTATTGACTCTGTATACCTGATGCCACTTCTTCAAACTGTCTCTCTTTTTCTTCCTCCCTCTTCTCATCTTCAGCAGTGAGCAGATCAGACACAAGATCATTAACAGTCTTGTAGTTTTCTTCAGTGGCCAGGATTTTACTTTGCACTGTTTGCTTTACCAGACGCCTACTGAATCCCATCTCCAAGGCAGCTTTAACTACAGGAGTATTCATCATGATTGCATCTTCTGAAGGACTCTCTCCAGGTTCAAAATGAATAACTAATTGAACAGAAGAAGTCATTGTTTATCAAAAAGAACAGAATACTCCTACAAGTCATCAACATTATCTACATGCAAAACCTAAATATTATAAAAGCTAATACCGTCAGTGGTTAGGCTTTTTCAAAGGCATTTTATCAATTAGTTTTAAAAACTAAAACAAGTTATTTAGATTCAGTTGTACTGAATCAGTCATCGACTCTGATCCACATCAAGTCTTCACCTAATTATCTAAGATAGCTCAGAGAAAGCACACAGAATCCCACTGTGACTTGGGAATTTTTTGTGTGAATGTTGGTTTGCAGGGCTTTTTATGCTTAGTTATTTCTAACTTCAGCCTTGAGAAGCTAGAAACTCTGAATTCAGAGACCAATTCCTTGCGGTATATGCTATTTCAGCTCTCAACAAATACTTTCTATTCAACTTCCTGAGCACCAGGCACGTGGGACTGAGTCTTTGTCCTTAACCAGCAGGAACTACAGCATTATCTCCTACTCACCATAACTGGAGTTCTGCTCACAATGGAACTTAAAGGCTTCACTTTATCAGCTTGTCCTACCCTTTCCCTGATCACTGCTGCCCAGTTCCCTTTCTAACCAGCCACATGCCTAAAAATGGAATTGCACAACCTCATGACATCCTCAAGCAACTGCTCCGCCAAGTTCCAATCTCTAGAAGTAGCTTCTCTGAAGTCGTGTAGACAACTGTAACACTGCTGTTCCCAAGCAAATCTAAGAACTGCTAAACAAATTAGTTTCAGAGATCCAGTCATTAAGAGCACAGAGTGCTGAGGAACTCTGACAAGGTGCTTTGCATGTTATACGTACTTGGATCCATGTTTTCATCTACGGGTGTGTCAGAAGTTGACAGGAGCTGTGGAACACAATGAAATTATATTACTATCCAAGCATTGCTTTTCCCTCTATGTACCACACCAGCACAGTAGTCTCTCAGTCATGCTAAGCTTTCTAACTGAATGGTACCCCCTCATGGATTTGACACATGGTTACATAAGCCTGAGTTTATAGATAACCAATACAAAGTCAGTGCTGACCACTTCTGTGAAGAGCTCAACTTATTCTTATCAGAAAACTTGTAGACAAAAGTAACTCATGTGTGAGGAGCAGACAATTAGAATTGCCCGTGTCCAGTTCCTCAAACAGCAGCTGCTGATTTGCATTATTCACCAGAACTTGCATAATCAGAACTTCCTTCTCCTGACACTGAGGTTCAAAGAATCTAATTGCCTCCTAACGAGTAACAAAGGATTGTCTGTAAATGACTGAGTGTTGTAACCTTGGAATTACTACAATAACATTATACCACCTCCTTTTTAATTTCCCGTGACACTCCTTTGTGAGTAACCCTGTACAGGGTAAGCTCTAATCACTCAGTCCCATTACCCATGGCTCAGCGCTAATTTTGTTGTTTTGTACTCATAAAGAGCATTTACCACGTTGTAAACCTAATAGAAATATATCTAGAAGGCAGAAGGAGGTACTGGACCCTCCAGAAGAGCACAGCACTATTCAGCGAGGGAAAAAGCGAAGTTACAGAGCTGTAAGGATTACCTGTTCAAGAAGATGAGGAAACCTGGCCTGAACTTGACTTACAAACTCTCCTCCTTTCACACGGAGCAGATACTCACACCTGAAACATTGGCAAAGACATAATTTATTACATTTCCTATTTCACAATGGAAACAACCGAAAAATAAAAATGCAGAAGAATGAAACCACCTACAACAGCACAGCATAAATTAAATGCATGTTTCTCTTCCTTTTCATTGGGTGAAGAGTTCTCTAAACTGTAAGCTTGATATAGTATAGTATCTGGTCGCACTTTGATAAAGCTTTTCCATTATGTTCAGCAGCCAGTAGGATTAGGCATATAAATGCAGCAGCTCTACATGTGCTACTACTTTTAGTCAAAATGGCACTTCATGAGATATGACAGCACATCAGTTCCATTACAAATGCAGTGATAAACTGTTTCTAACCACATCTCATGGTTTTTATCTCCTACTCACATCATTCAGAAATTCAGAGAACTCAACTCCGCTATCAAAGCCAGATCTGCTTCAAGAATTCAGAGTTTCATCTCTTAAATACAGAAACAAAAGGCAGCACTTTATACATGCATCCTGCAGTACAACAGGAGCAGGTAAATTGGCTATGAAAGATTAGCTGGAGATCTACAATGTAAAGATTTTCTATTAGCTAGACTCAATTTCAAGAAAGCTATTTCTGTCATTAATGGAGATAGAGATTTTCCACAGGTATAGGCAGCAACAGAGTATGCAACTACTTCTTAATTACAGGGAATGTATTCAGAAGTTATTTTTACCATTTTTCACAGCCACAGAAATCTTCACAGTCCTTTCTATACCTAGGAGACTGAACTACTTGCTGAAAGGCAGGTTCAAGAGCATTCACAACACTCACAGAACCAGACCAAAGTTGAAGGTCCTCTCCACCTCACTTCTCAGCAGCTCTTCTCCTCAGCCTGCTTTCTGACTGCTTCCCTTACCTAAGGTGTTCTCATTAACAATGCAGTATCACTTGCTAACAGTGATTTGGGGATGCATAGTTTTCAGTCATTAAGTGGAAAGCATTAAATACCATGCTTCATGAGGTAAAGATTCAAACCCACATTAGCACATCAAGAGTTTCTGCATGAAATATAACGAAATGATAATCTGTACACCATATGGTAAAAATAAATACATTTGGTGCCATACATAACTGCCAGAATTAAAACTACTTTAACAGTAAGGACGTGAACCAACTGTGATAAAGAATTTGCAAGTTACCTTGGAAACCACTTTGCATGCTCAATCCATGGATCATCTCCAGATTCCCAGCACCTTAACCCACCATCACAGCAAAAACACTTGACATCATCGTTGCGGCCTTTAAAACACAAGGTGAAATATCTAGCAACCATTTACACAACTTACATTGAAGTAAATGTTGATGCAGCAATACGAATGACATCAGAGACGTCAGGTTTTCTTACCTACATAGTAAAAACCAGCATCCGCAAGCTGTTCAGGCTGAACTGGAATCCGAGTTGGCCAATTAATGAATGTTTTAACACGGGCTTCGTGGGTTTGCATGGTCACATTGGAAACATTGAAACTTGGTTGGTCTCGCATGAGGTTTTCCACAAAGGGGCAGTTAGGAAAGTGCCTCTGATGCTCTGACATGGCATTATCTTTTGGCTCCCAGTTACTCAACTGACCACCACAGGTGAAACAAGCAACTTTGTCTGCTGTCCCCAGGTAATAAAGACCAGCTTTTGCCAGATCGGTGGGCGAGAGAAACATCAGGGGCCACGTATGGAAAGTGCGCAGCCTAGCTTCTTCTGTACTCATGGAAGGGTTGTGAAGCTTAGATCTTAAGTGCGAGAGGTCTTCGGCAGCCCTAGTAGTTATCGGGTCTTGAGGAAAACTGGAAAAAGAGCCACTGAAATAGCCAACTTGTTCAAAGCTTGGAGAAAGCGTCATGGAACGTAGAGATGGTGAGAGATTGCTTGTGACCAGAGGAGAAAAGGCAGAATGAGTGGACAGTCCAAGGTTGTTAAATGATAGCATGTTTTGAACAAAACTGCAGCTAGGATACCCCTGTTTATGCTTCTCCATAGCATTATCTCCTGGCTGCCAGTTGTCCAGCACTAAGCCACAACTGAAGCATTTAACTTTATCTTGGACACCAGTGTAATAAAACCCAGCCCGGGCAAGCCTTCGTTCTGACACTGGCACATTAACAGGAAAAGCAGAAAACGTTGACATTCTGTAGAGCTCACAAGACAAGTCGTACTTCAGTTCTCCAGACTGAGCATTTTGCTTCATCACGCTTGCCAACAAAGGGCTACTATCCATTATGTTCATAATGAACTGTTCTTGGAAAAAATGGGACAAGTCTTCCTCTGGGAGGTAGTTGTGTGCACTAAAGGCAATTCTGAATAACCCTTGCCTATATAAATTAAGAACCTGGAAATGAAATATTTACGTGCAACTTTGAATGCACTGTATGAACAGAATCAGACACGTGACTATCAGACTTAAAACATTTGTACTTGAGTCTGCACAACTGCTTTTTGTGCAAAAGCTGATCCATCCCACTGACAAATCCAGGTATGTCAGAGGACTTTCCCTCACGCTACATAGTAACATCATGTGCTTTCCCTTTGCTGTGCATCTGGGAGAGCAGTACTGATCAGTCAGGCAGGTGGGGTTAGGGCCCTAAGGGGAAAGCCTCAAACGGGTTTATCAAAATCCTTCTGTTAATAAAGAAACTAAAATGGTGGGTGGAGGACACGTTGCATTTCCCAGTTTAAAATACTGCCAAGTGATTTAAAAACTATTTCACCCTACACAGCTGAGCAACAATACAAACAAAATTTCAGTTTACAAATCTCATTAGGAATCTCAAAAGAGACCCTGAACTGATGTAACTGAATTGATCTAGTCTATTTCCAACTGCTGAACTGCCAAAAATAGCCTTGACACATGAATATTGTTGTAAGAACTGCTAAGATTTCAGAAGTCAGTTTACACTCCACTTCACTTATATTAAGCTCAGCTATGAGATGTAATAAATCCTATACGCTGCCTGTGACAAGGACGAGTTATCTTAACTAACAAGCCTGGAACAGCCCCAGGCTCTTCTATCTATAACAGCACAGAATGAACAGCACAGCGTTTCAGTTTTAACCTGGTGCCTTAGTTACAAGTATGCAGTTATCACCTTTAACATAAATAAACTGCTTTGCAACGGGACATAACAACACCTCATAGTGATAAATTAAGGTTTTTCTGTATGCCATGTTCATAAAGCAAACAGAACCCTTGGGTAAAAGGAGAAAACAGCCTTAGTTTCTTTATTTGTGCACAGAACTACCTCCCAGAGTCCAGACTTAAGTCCCGTTTGAGGTGCCTACGCCTCCATGCTGGTACTGACTGCTCACAAAGAAAAACTGTGAATGTTTGCAATTTCAATCAGCGCTTTTGTGTGGAACGAAACCTATGAAGGAAAAAAAGAGAGGAGCGTTTCAAAATACACGAAACGACGAGCGTGCAATAGCGAGATAAGCAGAAGCTACAAATAGAAGCACTAAAAGTGCAAAGCAAGCTTCTCTGAAACGGCAGCTCGTTCCCTTCAGGAAACGCGCCGTGGCACAGCCGGCTCTCGCCCGGTTCCCGTCACACGCGCAGGAGCTCCGTGCGCGCACAGCGCTGCGGCAGATGGAGCCGGCAGCCCGGCTCCCGCCGCAAAACTGCGCGAACATCGCGTACTGAGGAAGGCACGGCCGTTCAGATGGCCTTAAGCCTAAAGGACCTCAGGCAACGGGGATTCAATTTTATTACACCGCCAGGTTAAAGCCACCAGACCCCTCGTTTAGTTAAGCGCGACAAGCTCCGCAGAAAAGCGTTGAAAGGACGGACGCGTCACGCCGACACAGCCCCGAAAAACCCCTCCGGAAGCGGTGGGCCGCTGCTTCCCCGCCGCCTCCGTTCTGCATGCGGCCTCGGCTCGCCGCCGCGCCTCGATGACAGCGAGCCGCCAAGCGCGGCAGAGCTCGGTCGCTCTCCCGCCTGCCTAAAGCCGGCTGCAACGGCAGGAGCGGCGCAGTCCGCGTGGCCCCGACAGCGGCCCCGACAGCGGCCCCACCACCGCGCCGCGCCGCCCCGCTCGCCCCCACCCCTACCCTCACCCCCACGCAGACGCCGCGGCCGCTGCCGCGGGCCCGCCGGGTCCCCCCCCCGACTTACAGCCTTCCCCCGCGGCTTCCGCCGGCTGCTCCCAGCAGACGGTCCGGCCGCGCTCTATATGCGCCAAGGAGCGGCCCCCGGCCCGGGGAACTCCGAGGGAGCGTCAGGGCCGGGAAGCCGCCGGAAAGCCCCAGCGGCGCGCATGCGCCGCATGACGAAGGGGCGGTGACTCCGTCCTGTCCCGGCCGTGGCGGCGGCTTATGGCTTCGGTGCTCCGCCCCACCCTGAGCCTCGGCCGCTTCCCCCCTCGCTCCCCTTGCCCCCCTCGCCGTCCGGACCCCCTCAGGAGCCGCTGCGTCCCCGCTGCCCATTTGCTGAGCGGGGAGCGGTGCCGCGCGGCGCTGGGCGGGACGCCGGGTGCTTTCCTGGCGGTGCGGGGTTCCCCTGCACTCGACGTTCTTCCCCTGCGAGGCGGGCGGGGGTTTCCAGGCCGTGCCCCGGGCTGTGCCGCATGCTGCGCGCTCGGCACGCGGATTTCTCCTCAGGGGGCTGCCGGTGCCTTCCTACCTTCGCGTTTGAACTTTTTGTTAACCTTTTCTTCGCAGCGTTGCCTGATACGGGCTGCTGTGGGAGAGGTTGAGTGGTGTCCGCTTGCGCTTCGGTCTCTGAAAGTCACGGGGGAACAACGGGAGGAAGCCAAAACCGAGTGCAAATTTCCAGCAGCGTGTGTCAGCGCATACAGAAAGCTGAAAACTTCCGCAGCGGGTGCTGCCAGATCGTGGTATGACATTTCCTCTGCAGAAACAGCAAGCAGAAGATGAGAAAGCCCCGCTTGGTGTGTGTGGTGTCAGAATGATGGCAGGGCGTTCGCACCGCTGGGAGCTGCAGCGTAGAAACGCAGCAGGCGTTGCTGTAGGGTTCGTTATGACTCTGCTGGTAACCTCTTGTGGCTGTTCCAGTAAGGTGGATTTGTGGACGATTCATCTCTCTTCTAAAATGGGTTTGAATTTTCTGTCACGTGTGATGACATTGATAATATGTCAGATTTCGAACGTGTATAGCTGCAGTCAGGTAGTGCTAAAGCACCATGACATTTCACGTAACTCCAGACGTAGAAAAACTTCTCATTTCAGCAGCTAATTCAGAAAAAGCTTTTTTAAAGTAAATTTATCAGATCTCCGAGGTGTCACCTTAGGGAAGCTCCTGACATTCAGAAGACAACACTGATGCTGGAAAAATGGAGATAACTCCAGAAGTGCCATATTTGAAGGAGGATCAGGTGTGGGATTTCACATCTGTTGGACACAGGGAATTCAGTATCACATAAGGAAGTGAGCTCTGTATGTGCACGAATGGTTTAAATTCTGCTTTCATAGAGAAAGATGGTGATGTTCCTATACTTCAGGCAGGCATTCCCAAATGAAGTTATGCTGAATTCATTTCTGTCCATTCCAGGAGGCTTCTTGACTTTTAACCAAACATTCTCCAAAGTCAGTATTCCTCTTTAACTCCATCCTGCAGCTTCCTGCCTGTGCCATCCCAGACACATCCCTGCCCTTTGCTCCTCCATACCCTTTGGCCTCCTCCGGATCCTGCAATAGAAACTGCCCTTCCCTCCCCTCCCAGGCTCCAGGCAAGCAGTTTCAGGCTCTGCCTTTCTGCTAGGCAAGCATCATGTTGCATTAAGGAAGAAGAGAGGGGGAGGAATGGAAAAGCAGGCTAAAACACATATAATAGCAGAAATAGTGTAGCTGGCCTGAGCTGCCAGCCTTCTTTTGCTTGCTCTGACTCTTGAGAATAGTAGCAGCTCCCCTAGTTCTCCTTTCCTAGCATTTCCTTTGCAATTACAAGAAAAGAGACGAGGGAGCTTTTCCTGCCTTCTTAGTGATGGATGGTCCTTTCTTCAAAGGACATGAGCTCAGAGATAAATAAAGGTTTATTTTTAGGACTGAAATTCATGAGGTGTGATGCGTTATCAGCAGCATCCTGAGTCTGGCTTCAGCATCAGGTGAGGGAACTCCAAAGGCAGGGAGAGAAGCACAGCAGTGCTTCAGACGGATACAAGCTGACAGCAGTAGGCTTGAACTTTGGTTCTGAGCCTGTGGCATGGCATGATGGGGCTGTTCCTTTCACCTGCTGCCTCAGACTTCAAAGATCACAGTTGGACTGATAAACAAGATGCTCTAATCTGCAGATTATTTGCTCTGGAGAAGGGGCGAAAGGCTGATAAAGCTCTCCTCAACTGAAGAGAATTCTGCTTTCTGAGCAAGTCCCATGCACTCATAGAGGTCACAGTGCTAATAAAAGCGTGACTGCCACATTACCGGTGCTTGCGAAAATAAACCTAATGACAGTGTTGACTGAAATAGCGAAGGTGATATAGCTGGTTTCTGGAGGCGGAACACAGTGACCCTGCAGCATATGTGCATTAAGAATGCCAGCAATGAGTAGGTCGGACAGCCCAAGAAGCATCTGATACAACTGCACATCCAGAAATCTTCTCCAGGGGGCCTGATGAATGTAAATCTCCCCATGCTGTGATTCTTCTCTGCTCTATTCTCCAGTTTATTGTTTCCACAGCGCTAAGACATCTTCCTTTAATGGTGCCTCTGTCACATATCCCTAAACAGCTCTGAAGAGAGAAAGGTGAAAAGGCGGTGTTGTTTCCCTTTCCCATTGCTACTGCTTTTCTCTCCATTACATTTGATCCCTTTAAGTACTGTAAGGCTGCAGTGTGGTCTCCCTGGAACCTTCTCCAGGCTGAACATGTTTAGCTATCTCAGCCCTTCATAGGGGAGATGCTCCAGCCCTCTGATCATCTTCGTGGTCTGCTTCTGGACCCACTCCAGATGGGGCCTCACAAGGGCTGAGTAGTGGGGACAGTCACTTTCCTCCTTCTGCTGGTCACCCACTTTTGATGGAGCCCAGGATAGAGTTGGCCTTCTGAGCTGCCAGTGCTCACTGCTGGCTCATGTCCATCTGTTCATCCACCAGAACCCCCAAGTACTTCTCGGCAGAGCTGCTCTCAATGAATTCTTCTTCCAGTCTGTACACACATCAGGGATTGCCCCAACCCAGGTACAGCACCTTGCACTTGGCCTTATTGAACACCATTCTTAAGATGGAAACTTACCTGCATGCTCTGTGAGATCCAGTGCCCTCCTGACATCCCTGTTTGGAGAAGCAAAGCTGGAAAATTGCCAGAGTGAGAGGAAGACACCTTTTTGTAGCAAAGACCATTGTCACCAATTTAAGCAACAGGCACCCACCCGGCCTCAGTCTTTGATTGTAGCCATGAGGACTGAATCCCAAGCAACAAAGATGCTTTTGTGAAGAATGAATCACAGGATCTCAGTTATCCATTTCCCATGTCAGGAGGGTTCTGACATTCAGCCTCTTTAATGTATTTGTCTATTCTTTGCCATTCCCTACCAATAATCCTCCCATGGGATCCCAACCCACCCAGATGAAGAGCCACAATTCAGGACATTAATGCACCCATTCCTTGGATTGGGAAGTGAGCCCACCATCAGTGGTCCTGCTGTCACATTCTGGGCAGCAAAAAAAATGCAACCTTAGTCCCACAGCCAGCGGTAAAGGATGCAGAAGAACTCTTCTGCAGGGACATTTGGGATGTCCTTGAAGAGGCTGCACATCCTGAAGAACAGGTTCCTTTATGCCTGGAGGGCTGACTGCTGGGACATGAGACTGCGTAAGCTCAGTCTTTCTAAATGCACTGGCCTTTAAGGTGGGAACCCCCTTACTTGTGTGTGCAAATATTAACATTGATTTTAATCTCAGATGTTCTCTGGAGATACAAGCAACTCAAAGCAGCAAATTCATCATGTCTGTGTTACCAAGGATGAGAAACAACATAATCTGCAGTTTCAGTTATACTGCTCAGGTCTTTAATAATAGTCAAGAATGTGCCCCTAGTTCCTTTTATGTTTTAGGGGAAAACATTCAATTAGGTGAAGAAAAAATACTCCCTAGAACTTAAGATGTATTACTTCAATTATATTTATGGCCTCTTTGGATGTCATTGTATAGAATCTACATGAAGTATCTAAATTCCAAGCTGCTTTAGGAGCAGGAGGCAAAATATTTTTCCAAAGCCTCACAGTACTTCATCAGGAAGCCATGCAACCCAGCCAGGGAATGGAGACCCCGTGCCTGCTCTTTGCGAACCTAAACCCACCTATAAAACTCTGTGCTTGTTTTAAAAAGGAAAAAGAATTGCTATCAGCTAGTGTTCACATTTTTCAGCTTCCAAAAGGTATCGAATGCCTCTGTGCAGTGTGTTCTGTCAGCTGTGCTGATGCTAATTGTTTTAAATTCAGAGTCGGTAGCTGCTACTCGCAGTTCATAGGCATCATGGACCCCTTTCCAGGAGTACAGAGGGAGATATTGCATGCTAAACTGATCTAAGTTGGCAATTAGCATGCCAGAAAAGAACAGTGAGCAAATTTTCTTTGCAACACGTGGTTTCTCAGATGATGAAATGGGGAAAAAAAAAAACAGATTTAAGGGAAATTTAGGGTATGTCAGATTGAGACAGAATGTTAACTCCAGATAAAGTATCAGGACCTATTTGTTTTTCCAAATCCCAGGAGAAGAGTTCTGACATCTTGTAGGCATTACATCAGACAAGCTGATAATCTGTGTGAATGAAAACTGCTTCCCACTTCTCTCCAACTAAACACAGCAACAGGGCACCTACGTCTGGACCAGCAATACCTATTACTGTATCTTTTTTAATGAGACTATTAGTCACATTTGGGCATGTAGCAAATGAGAAAAAAAATAGCCTCGTGAAGGACAAATATATCTAGATAGAAGGGCATCGTGACTCACTGTAGTAACCTCAAATGTTTAAGCAAAAAACAAAAAAGAAGAACAAAAAACCCCACAGCCTACATCTCAGCGCTCCTGTACTGAAGGTCAGTACATTCAACATCTGGAAAATTTCTGCTAGCTTTGCAGCCCAACAGAGTTTTGCTTTGCACATCCTCCTACGCAAAAGATCGCAAGTGTAAATGTTAAAGTTTACCTAAATCTGTTGTGGGCTTTATTTTGTCATATTTACTGCAAAGAATACATTCTCCTGTAAGCCATAATTGGTCTCCAGAAGATATCAAAGCCACTCTGATTAAGCGGAGGCTTTTAAATCAATTAGAAACTCTTTCACTGTTACTTATTTGGAGAATAAAAAATGAGCTGGAATGAGCTGCAGGAAAATTTTGGCAAATACTGTGATAGTTTCCCCTTTTAGATTTTAGAGCTGTTGACTTTTCCAAGTTTCATTCTCTGTGTATAGGAAGACAATTAGATTCAGCAAGGGAAAAGAACATGAAAAATGCCAAAAGAGATAACTGCACTAAAGTGATCCGAGTTTAAGTGGGAGAGGGAACCAAATGTACCATGAGAATCAAAAGGCTGCTCTTTGGCTGTATCCATTTGTTGAAGTTCGGAGCTGCTCATCCTTAATAATACCTTACCCAAAGGTATTATCTTTTTAAACAGCAAGTTGTCTGCTTTGACTCAAAGTTACTTCCTGCTATCGAATTAAGAACGTGTCTATAGGTCTTATTTCCTTCCATTTATTGCCCTTCATCTCTGCATGCTTTAGATCCTTCCCACAGCCTTCAGTTTGCTTTAGCTGAACTAACTATTGCTATGTACAGTCTTGACAAGTGTTGTGGCTTTGGCTGGAGTTCTCATAGTATTCTCATAGAGGCTTGTATGGTGCTGTGTTTTGGATGTAAGATGAGAACAATGTTGATCACACACCAATGGTTAATTGTTGCTGAACAGTGCTGCACAGAGCCCAGGATGTTTCAGCTTCTCACACGTGAGCAGTGGAGGGTCACAAGGAGCTGGGAGAGGGCAGAACGCACACACTGACTCGAACTGGTCAAAGGGATATCCCGTACAGAATGGCGTCACACCGAGCAATGAAAGCTGGGGTAAAGAAGGGGGAAGGAGTTGTCATGGGAGTGATGGCATTTGGCTTCCCTAGAAAGCACTACAAGTGAGCCCTGCTTTCCTGGGAGTGGCTGAACATCTGCCTGCTGATGGGAAGTACCAACTGAATTCCTTGCTTTGCTTCGCTTCCATGTACAGCTTTTGCTTTACCTGGTGAACTGCCTTTCTTTATCTCAACCCCCAGTTCTCGCGCTTCTGCAGTTTCTGATCCTCTCCCCCATCCCATCGGAGCAGAGTGAGCAAGCAGCTGTGTGCCTGCTGGCTTTAACTGGCTGCCCAGAGAGGCTGTGGATGCCCCATCCCTGGAGGTGTTTAAGGCCTGGTTCGATGGGGCCCTGGGCAATCTGATTTAGTACTTGGACTAGTGGTTGGCAGCCCTGTCTGCAGCAGGGGGAGATGGAAATTGATGGTGCTTGAAGTCTTCCAACCCGAGCCATTCTGATTCTATAATTCTATGAATT